TTTTGCTTACCTTGGGCAGACTTCATGTGGTTACATGCGGCTCAGGTTACTCTGACATATACCACCACCGAACTTTGCATTGTTGCAGACTGAGCACAGTCTCTTTGCTTGGCACACGCTGACACAGCAGGATGGCGAGATGACGAGGCCCACCACAGTATAAGAACTTCTAAGGACCAGTTGAAGGACGACAACAAAAAGCCCAAGATGTTGCCCCAGGCTCCAAAATCCCCAGATCCCAATTTAACTGAGCATCCTGGACATGTGTCCTATAAGCTGCTGCCACACGACCTTCCCAGAGGTCCCGTGTCTCTATAACAACAGATCAACTTTAGTAGCAAGAGAGAGGGCCGTGGCGTGTTGGCACATCAGTTTTTCAGTATTAATAAAGCAGCATCATATTCTTAAATCTTAGCAGGACCGGCCTTTTGTAGAGTTCTCCATTATGAATGCATTTGGCTGTAATGTGCCCCTTTAAACAACTGATGTAAAAGATTTACATGACAAGAATAATTTATTTCTTTTTTTAATAAAACATCCAGGGGCAGCTGACCATTTACATATTTATATATATATAAAAAAAGTGACAAACACTTGAATTGCATTGAATTAAAATCTGCTACTGACAACACTGAGAAAGAGTCATTATTCACAACAATGTAACAGCAGTCATTAAAAAAAAAAAAAAAAGAGCTTAAATGTTGCCGTTTGTGCAGCAGTCTTCATTTTTAAGCGCTCCAATATATCTTACCCCTTTGATCAAAGCTGCTGTACAGATTTCACAAGTTTTGGGAAACAGCCACTGACATCACAAAGGTGGGTTTCCGTTCGGGAGGCTAACATCAGAGAAAACAGACAACGGATAAATAACGATTGAGAGAAATTAAAACAAGTCTTCATGCTTAAAAAAAAGTGACTCAGTGCCAGCCGGTAGTCGACTCCCGCATCCGTGTTGTGTTGCAAACAAAACATTCAGATTTATGCCTCTGTACAGTAAAATATCCACACCTGGACTTTAGTGCTCTATCAGAAATGTAAGTACCATAACGGAATTCTCAAACAGGTTCCAACATGAGGAAAAAAAGAAGTCCTGCCGAATCCCACATGTTCGCCCATTTTCTCTGAGACACGCAAAACCTTGAGCACCATCGATCGTAAACAAAAAGTCAATCTATGACTTTTGCAAATTTTCTCAAACATATTTTAAATACAAACTGTATCCATGAGCAGCGACCACACCCACTGCAAGCCCGTCCAAACTCAATACCAGTGTGTCATGTTTGCCGCAGAATAAAATAACAAAAGAAAAAAGGTAGACATCAACAGAATCAACAGAAGGGTAACGATCTCCTGTCTGGGTTTTTCTTGTACTAGCTACTATACTGTAATAACTTTAAAGCATATCTCATATATGTAGAAAAAGGTCCAGCAGGTTAAGAGAACATACAGACACTGAAAAGAAGTAGGCAGAAGGTGATAAGGTTAAGCACTTACAGTAAAACCAAAGGGGCTCAACAACGAAGCAGGACTGAAGATGGCTTCTGTTAAAATACTCGAGGAGCAATATCTCTTGACGGTTCACGCCAAGCCGTAAAACTGATACCCGACATCGTACTTCAAGCTGTCGCTCTGATTTAAATGGGTGATTTTAGCTCTATAACCACATAAAAGCGAGTATTAATGTGTGGAGCCCCCAAAAGAGTGTTTGAAACACAGCTTTTGATTCGTGAAAATGTGAATCTCTTCGTTCATGGCTTTTTCTCCATCCAAACCCTCACAACCACAGCTATAACATGTCAAACCCACACAAAAGGGAAATGAAACTAATTGTAGGTTTAGAGCTCCTAAAGCTGCTTTAACAAGATCGAACAAAAATAAAATCAAAAAACAGTGAATTGCACCCTTTTTGTGTTTTCACAAATGCTACAATTTGTGTGTCTTGTATCAGTTAGGTGACTTTAAACGGTCTAACAATGGAGACTTGGTGGAAAGGAAAAATCCGATAACATTACTGACTTTGACGACATGACTATAGATATAAAGCGAACTTCAGCCTTTTAGAAAACAATGATTACGGGATCCCATCCTTTCTTTGGCAGCACTGTGAGGGTGGCACACTCCAGTCATACACGTAGGACAGACGCAGCTTGACTTCCTCCTTGCAGAGCTTGCCATCGCGCTGCAGAGTCTGATGTTTTTCCAACATGTCCTCCAAGCTCTGCTTATGCGTCACCAGGTATTTGTTGTTGCAACCACGTGACTTGTACTCTGTGTCAAAGCGTGGGTCATGTGTCCGCCGGACGTCTACCGGTGCCAGCCACGCGCCCAGCGACACGTCCTCGCTCTGCCACGTCTTGAAGTATCCTGCATTAAGACGCACGTAATGCACCAGATCGGCCGAGAGCACGTAGCCGCCGCCCAGCGCGTAGGGGAGGTAGTAATCGCACAGCTCCCACGAGCTTTCGCGCCACTTCCCCGCCGATTTCACCCGGCCTCTGCCTGAGAAGAAGCCCCAGTACAACCGGTTGGGCTCCTTCCCCTTCAGCTCCTCTTTGAGGAGGTCCAAGCGAGCGAATGTGTCGTCATCTGCTTTCAGGACAAACGTGAACTCCACGTTCTGGTCCAGCCAGGTGTACATGTGCAGCAGTTTGAGGGTCAGGTTCTCGTAAGAGTCTCGCAGGTCGGGCAGTAAGAGTAAGTCCTTGTGCCGCCCTTGCTCCGTGTTAAGATTCTGAAGGTCCTCACTGGAAAGGCCCTGTGTTCCTACTACAAACATGGCCAGAACATCAGAGTCCCGCTTGGCAAGCCAGGTGCTGCGGATAATACTACGTCGCTCCGTGTACTTCGGTCCTGTTGTGATAAGGACCACGAGAAATGCTGACAAGTCTTTGGATGCAGAGGGAGGATTCTGTTGCGCTGGGCGGGGCTGAAAACCGATGGCTTGGGGGGCTCTGCCAGGAGGATCGGGGTGACCCTGTTTTAGGGTTTCTGATGTGCATTTTGCTAAGAAGACCAGAACTACAGCAAAGCTGCAAACTGTGCCAATGACCAGCGCTGTCTTGTGGCGGCACACCAGACGAAACAGATTCATGATGCGGACTCTGGAGTGAAAAAACAAAAGAGGCAAAATATATCAGCTTTATCATCACGAATTATAACTGTCAAACATAAATATGAACAAGTATGGTTAAAGGGGAACGAGCAAAGAGCTTTTGCGTCTTTCTGTTTTCACGTAGATGCTTTAGCAAAGTAACCTCAGCTCTTTCACTCACCCATGATTCTGCAGCACCAACTGGTTTCTAAGCTTAGTAGCTTAACAGTACACACACACACACACACACACACACACACACACACACACACACACACACACACACACAAATGCAGTAACCAGTTATGAACTGAACTGAAGAGAATTTGTTAGTTACCTTAGCAAATGAAAGCGTGTGCCTGTGGTGTGAACGGTACAGCTGGAGCGGACCACTGATAGCAGCTTTGCAGAGCTAGCGTTAGCTACCGAGACCAGACCATCTGCGCACTTTGTAAGCTCACTGCGCGGTATGCAAACGCAGAAAGACAGCTCATATTGGAAGGAAGGATGGAAACTTGGTCTTTTCACTGGGTCAGTCTGGGTTACAATAAGCAGCCTCTGTCATTCACCGTTCAGAGATCCGCACACAAGGTATCAATGCAATCACTGTCTACCTCCAAGTAGTGTCACTTACGGGTCTTCGTGACGCAGGGGAAACGGAAGTGAACCTCCGCCCCCCAAAATAGAGGTTTTAAAATGGCGAAAAGATAGGTTTATATTGACAAGGATTTAATTTAATTTTTATTCTTAAAAATGAGCATAAGCAAATAGACAAACACCACAACTCAATGTTGCAGGGTTTTGTTTTTTTTTTGCCAAAAACGGATAAAACACAATGATTACAGTAATATAAAACAACACAAAAAAGAACAACAAAAAAGAGCTGCGAGATCTAATTTTGCCACTTGTGATAATAAAGAAAAAATCTAAAATTAAAGCAGACTGAAGAAAATTGAGTGCTGTGAACAGCTGTAAACTAGAGCATGCGCAGTAGTCATTCTCCAGCTTGGAGCCCAGACCGGATGTTGTTATGTTTACTTCAGAATATAAGCATGCAAGTCCTTTGGCAAATTAAAGATAATCACAAACCTCAAATACTAAGGCTGTCATTATTGGGTCTGTGTGAGGTAGAGCTCGGGAGGATACCAGGAGCTATCAGTGATGGGTGACCTGACCACTCAGTTATTAACCACTGAACAATGCAGCTTTAAAAGACTGCTGCTAGTTGTTCCTTCATCTACACTGCTGTGAAAAGTTTTTCGTGTTTATACGTACACTATTCAGACCATATATATATATATTGTATTAGACAAAGATTACCCGAGTACATACAAAATACAGTTTTGAATGATAATTTCAAAGGAAAAGGTTGTCCAAACCCTGTGTGAAAACGTAATTACCCCCTAAACTTAATAACTGTTTGTGTCACCCTTCGAAGCAAGAACTGCAGTCATGAGTCTGTGATAACCAGCAATAAGTCTTTCACATCACTGTGGAGGAATTTTCTCCCACGCTTCTTTGCAGAAGTGTTTTAATTCAGCCACATTGGAGGGTTTGAGCATGAACGGCTTGTTTAAGGTCATGTCAAAACATCTCAAAAGGATTTATGTGAGGGCTTTAACTAGGCCATGCCATTTTTGCCCAGTCTCTTTCTTATTGTTGAATCATGAACTCTGGCCTTAACTGAGACAAGTGAGGTCTGCACTAAGCTATTTAAATAAAAATCTATCAATCAGTCATCTTATCATAAGTTAATCAGTCTTTCGACAATGCCTTTATTAGCCCTCGTGTGGTTTTTATTATTTCTTTGTAATTAATCATGGATTTTTCTTGAATTATACTTTTTTTTTTCAGTTATTGTTCCTTTAGTTAGCCTAATTTTCATTTACTTTGAAAGTTTCAACCGGAAGCTGGTTTTCATCGCCGGCATGATACCGACTGTGCTAATGTCCATCAGTTCCTGGAAATAATGGCTTCGTCTTAGTGAAATACTACAATGTTGTGTGTGGTTATGCATAGCAGTCAAAGAGTTCGGCATGTGTGATCATGTAAGCCCGTCTGTTGCTGGAGAGCTTTGTAGCGTTACTCATCTGGACAGTACGGTAGATAACTGACGTTACTGTTGGACAAGGACAGAGACAGACAGATCATGAGGGTTTGGAGGACCAGCCGACAGTCTGGGAAATGTGCAGCTTTTCTCGCCATCTTTATGCTAATTTTGAGCGCAGAGCTGGTGAAAACAGCCTCTGAATATGACCCCTATTACACCCTGGGTGTCAGCAGGAGTGCCAGTCAAGCCGAAATCAAAAGGGCATACAAGAGGCTTGCCAGAGAATGGTGAGTGACTGACAACCGGGCCCCTAATGTCAGCCCATCATATCTTAGCTGACAGTCAGCATTTCACATTTGGCATGAACTGCTGTTAGTATTTGCTTAACCCATCACTGTGTAGGCCTGTTTCAGAACCTTAAATGTAACCCTCTTTGAATCTGCTGGTAATCCGTAATGTCACCCTTTTGTAGGCACCCAGATAAAAATAAGGACCCTAATGCTGAGGACATGTTCATCAGGATTTCTAAGTCTTACGAGGTGGGTGAAAAGGGATCATTACATGTCGTAGTGGCATTTTAACATGGTTCATTTAATTCACTTTCACTTTCTTTATCATAGTCTCTTCCCCATATTGCAGACATTACTGTCAGAGCCTTATCGTTTCCCGTTTCCTGTTTTGCACACAGATTCTATCTAATGAGGAGAGAAGGTCCAACTTTGACCGGTTTGGGCAGAAGGATGAAAACCAGCACTTTGGCCAGTCACAGCATCACGGTTTCCGCAGCTTTCACAGCAGCTTTTACTTTGATGAGTCCTTTTTCCATTTCCCCAGGTACCCTCTGCTGTCAGTGTAATCTGGGCTCCTCTTTGTGTTTGCAAACCAAACAAAAATATATATAAGCAGATTCCTTACATACATCACACATCAGTTCATACACTGAATACATCAATTTTGCCTCTTACACATATTTAGACTTGATCCTGTTATTCTTGTTCTTTTTTTTCTTTCTTTTTTTGGAGAAGCTTCTCTATCTCATGAACACTAATTCAACCCAAGCAAACAAATTAAAGTTACAGTTGCAGTTTACTCTCAAGCTGTGTACTGTTAGCATCTTTGAGGTTAGATCTTAAAACACTTCATGTTTTTCCCTGCTTTTCTCCAGGAACAGAGACTTTTCAGACAGCAAGTACATGCTTCGCCTTGCACAGTTTAACAACGAAGTCCTTCCAGACAGCCACAAGAGGCCATACCTAATAAAAGTGACCTCAGAGTGGTGCTTTGCATGCATCCATATCGAGCCAGTGTGGAAGGAGACCGTGCAGGAGCTGGAGCCTTTAGGTAAGGATATCAGTGTGTCCTAACACCATCTGGGGATAAAGGCATCAGCTCACAAGATTAATGTCTGCACAACTGCCCATTAGGGCAACAGTGTTGAGATGCTTTACTGAGAGCCTTGCGCTTCTTTAATTATTCATTATGGTTTATTTGTTGTTCTTGGTTTCTTGAAGCAAAGAGTGAAACAAGAGAACTCAACTCTATATAATGATTGTGAATAGCTGAGAGTTTGGCTTATTAGAAGCACAGTTAGTGTGTATCAGCAGTCTTGCTGTTTATGCAACCCTCTTGCACCGAGCTGATGTCACCTGTGAGAACAACTGGGATTTACATAGAATTTCACAAGGTGGATGTTACAACTGTTTAACAAAAGTCTCTTGCTTTGCTTCAAGATTCAAGGCCTTTATTGTCACTATGCAAACATAACAAAATTACAGCGATACTAATCTCCCGTGGCACGTAACATTTAGATGGTGACAGAAATAAAAAAGAAAACAAGTAAAATGTAAGAAGTACAAATGATTAAAAATTCTGCACTAACAAAGCTAAAAAGAACAGCAAGAGTGAGGGCGCGTTAGCAGTTTTATAGTACTGGACAGAGTGCAAAATGATTACGCAAGTTCTAAAATGTTGATAAAATAAGTCATGTACCCATATAAATATGTCTATCTGAAGGATGAAAACATGACTGTACGTGAGATACAGAAGAAGCATAACTCTGAAGGTGCCTGCCTCATGGGGCGAGCATAATAAATAGCGTCTAAGGTGTGTGGAGGGTCCTTTATTTGTCTGTCAAACAGCTGTTGTGACTCACCTACAACTGCTGAGGTTTTGCCATCCCAAGAAATCCCAGCTTCAGAAACCTGAAGTTGGGGACTATCTCCATGGCTTCTTTCATTAATGTATAGATGTTTTTGAGGTGCATGTGTGGTTTATTTTGTAGCCCAGATGTCTACAATGATCTCTTTGGTCTTTGTGTTCACACACCATAATATTATAATTTGAACCTTTTCCCTGTGTGCGTCATTTAGGAGGCTACTCGTGATTGTATTATTTGCAAACTTAACAGTGGTGCTTGAGTCTGGACGGGTTCAGTAATTAGTGTAGCTTCTGATGCTAAAGCGGTATTAAGTACTGTGCTGTTCAGGTCATTTTATGACTTAAACTAGGGAAATAGTAGTTCTTCTTAGAGGCTTTAAGAGTCTCATATTCCTGAGCTTCACAGTAGTTGTTTAGTGAAAGTGAAAATCAATCTTAACTCTTTACCTCGTAAAGACGACATTTAAAATCCTCTCCGGTGTATATAAGTAAAGATCATTGGAATATTGTTTCCAAGACTAGCCCCAGTAAGCTGTATAGACCTCCTTCGCTAAACCTCTTATGCACACACAGTCATTTTTTTTCTGGAAGCAGGCCGAAATATGACAGAAACCTGAAACTCAGTTCAGAAAAGAGAAACGAGGGTTAGCACTACCAGGTGTCCAAGGGGAAAGAGCTGAAATAGAATTTACTCACATCACTTGCATCCTTTATTATTATAAACAGATTTAGCCATAGATATATTTGAATACAGAGAAATTTGCCATCATCTTGTTGTAAGTGGAAAAAAAAAAGGTTTCATTCAATGACATTAACTCACCATGTAAAATTATTGGATGATAACAAATCTGCCAATACTGTTTAGGATTTATTTATTTATTTTTAACTTGCTGAGGCAGAGGATTTGTTTTACTCTAGTATGCCAGGTCCAACTGTAATCTGTTGTTATTTTTACTCCAGGTATAGGCATTGGTATTGTAGACCTGGGCTTTGATCGGGCTTTGGCCAAGCAGCTGGGAGCTTACCGTGCTCCCTCCATCATCGGGGTGGTGAACGGAAGAGTGACCTTCTTCCATCAGGCAGTGGTGCGGGAGTTCCTGCGACAGTTTGTTGAAGATTTGCTGCCCCAGAAACTGGTGATGAAGGTAACTAAAACTGACACAATTGTGCTGCTACTGCATGTGTGTGCCATCATCAGTTTTTCTTCTGTGTTTATAGATTAGTCATCATGGCTAATAAAGTTGCAGGAAGTATATTTTTCAGCTAATTTCTGTTGTTTTTGTAGATCACTGACGATAACTACATGGCATTTCTTGAAAACTGGCATGTGGAAAATAAACCCAGAGTTCTGTTGTTTGATCAGGTCCCCATTGTTCCCCTGCTCTACAAGGTAGGAGAAGAACACATCCAGATCACTCATTACAGAATGAGTTGTTCAGCCTGCCTCATCCCCTGCTTATAAAAAACAAAAATGCATGACGGCACATAAATAGACTCCCAACAGCAAGTGCAGAGGTCTCTGTTTTTGCAGCTCTTCCGCTTAAAATTGTTCCTTTTTCCAAATAGATTAATTTTATATTTATATACCGCACAGAATTTTAGCTAATTTATTTTCGCCTTAGATGGTTAACAATCAAAAACGAATACAAAAGCAGCGTCATTTTTGTCTTGAGCACCCTTTCAGGCTCTAATCTTTCCATACGACCCCACAGTTGACGGCATTCGCCTTCAGAGATTATGTGCGTTTCGGCTTTGTGGACCAGGGTGGCACAAGCAGCACCAGGCTCCTGCTGCAGTTCAACATAAACACATATGCTCCCACCATGCTGCTCTTTAAGGAAGACACGGTGAAGCCTGTTGACATCATCCAGGTACACCAGGAATATGCTGCAGCTTAAAGCCGGTTCCTTATGGTAATAGATTTAAACTTTACATAGAAGGATCTTTGTTTTTTATCAGGCCAGAGGGATGAAGCGACAGATGATGAACGAGTTTGTCTCAAACAACAAGTTCCTGCAGGTGCCACGACTGGTCAGCCAGCAGCTTTTTGATGAGCTATGTCCTGTCAAGCAGTTCCACCGGCGGAGGAAGTAAGACATTTTGTGAACAGATTAGTAGCCAATAGTCCTGCACTTATGATCCTACTTAGATTGATCTCTTGTAAACTGAGCCAAGACTGTTAGAAGAAAAATACGTTTTTTTTTATAACTGTAAGAAGCAGAATAGTTGGACAGTTGTCATGATGGTAATGCAAAGGTTGTGTAGTTACATTTGACTGCGGTGGCTGGGGAGCTGATTGCGAGTGGGTTGCAGGTACTGTGTGCTGCTGATCACAGGCGATGACCCAGCCTATCTCGCAGCCAATAAGGCCTTCCTGGACTTCGCCTCAGCCAACAGCAAAGATGTGCTACGGTTTGCATATGTCTACCAGCGTCAGCAGCAGCCTCTCTGCCAGGCATTGCTCCAAAATCAGGGAGCACACTCTGCTCAGGTCAGTGGTCAAAACACACACAGTCCATACTTTACAAAAGCAATCCCCAAAGTCAAGAGTTCTGCAGCCCGCTTAAAAACCAGAAAATCTTTTTTAGTGGCTGTTATTACTGCGGCCCACCCCGGCCAACGTTTTGGGAATCACTGCTTTGCAACAATCATCACTTTTCTGTCTGTTATTGCTACAAAAAAAAAAAAAAAACCTCAAGGACATCCTGCACTTTTTGGCAAACCACCTTCATATACCCAGAACAACTTGCAATGGAAGATCTCTCTGATACGATGTGTCACATTACCGATATGTGCAGACTAAAGATGGTGCAGCACCTCAAATTACAGTCACAGTGCTCCTAAACACTGACAGGTGGTGATTCTCGAGAGGCGGAGCCAGACTGGTAAAGTCCTGTACCGCTCCGTGAGCGGTGGCTGGAATGGCAGCGAGGAAGACAAGTACCACCTTCATGAACAGCTGGAGCTCCTTCAGAAGGACCCCACCTATCTGACTTCAGACGCCACCTTACCAGAACTCAACAACGAGATGGCCCCCGTAAGTGCCAGCGTAGATGCTTTAGTCGAGAGCCTGCCAGGCTGGGCCTGCATGGGCATTCACACATTCATCTGAGGGTGAACTTCATTGAATTATATTTTTGCATTAATGTCCTTATTTTTCCCTTACCAGATTTTTATCATTCGGTGGATGAATGCTGCTTATGATTACATGCTTCAAATATACGATGACCTTCTCTACTCAAATTGGTAAGACAATACTGATCCAGGGAATCTGCTGAGTTCACTGTAAGAAAGAGACAGTCAAACAATGTTTGTTTTTCCTGATATTTTTGAAATGATTAAGTAAGTGAATCATTCTGTATCAGAATGAATATGAACGTTGAGGTGGCTCTGTATGTTCTTATGTTCTGTCTTTAATTACAGCTGTAACGCTGCTCCTCTAAAGTGTATCAACATGTAGAGACAAAATTAGCTGAAATGAAAAGTTTGCGCTGTGCATTGTATTTTTTTCCTGTATGTTTCAATCCAAACTCCTTTTTTTACTTCATTTTTTTCCTGCAAGGCGAGAGATGATGCCTATTCTGTCCTTGATCTTCTCAGCTCTCTTCATTGTTTTTGGCACCGTCATCATCCAGGCGTTCAGGTGAGGTAGACCCTGTTGGCAGACATGCATACTGAAACTTGACTGGTTGGCAGGTGCTTGCAGATGTTGAGCTGAGTCAAACTCTGGGAAAATATCATGATCTCAAAAGACTGATGATTTTCTTTCTTTGGTATATTTTCAGTGAGCCGGGTGAGAGCAAACCCCAAAAACCAAAACCAAAGCCAAAGGAGCAAACACGAACTGAGGATGATGCATCGAGCAGAGCAAGTACCTTCAGGTAATGTAATGACAAGTATAAGAGCCACTCTCATACCTTCCATGAGCGACTCTAATTGGAAATAATGCTTTTGAAAGCATATTTTGAAATTTTGTAGGTTTTTATCTAGCAGGCAGGATCATGGATGATTCCATGTGACCTAATACAATAATGTTTGTGCGTTAATAGTTTCTCAGTCCAATACACCAAAAACCTTTGTCAAAAGAGAGTGCAGGTATGGGTCATTTTTGTTAGATACTTTTTTTATGCTTGAAGGATTCTTAGGTCACTTTGAAGTGGTGTAAAAAAAACCAAAAAAAAAAACCAAACAAACAAGGAGAAACATGAAACTGCACTAAAAAGGATTGCAAAAGAAGGCAGTGTGCAAAGAAAAACTTTGAAAGACCTCCGAGAAAGCCTGGAGAGCTACTGCTCAAGACTAACTTTGAAACTCACAAAAACATTTGGCTCTTTGGAAGCAAAATATAAAGAAATGAATAATGACTCAAAACCTTTGCACTGTACTGTATATGGACATGAACTACAAAAGCATATTTCATTAGGTTTTCCTCTTTGGTTTGTGTAGCCGTCCTCCAAAAAAGGACTTTGTGGAGGTGACAGAGCTAACAGGCATTACATACACCAGTAACCTTGTCAAGCTGAGGCCTGGCCACATCAATGTCCTGCTGGTGCTCACCAATGCTTCCAAGAGTGCTTTGCTCCGGAAATTTGCCAAGGAGGTTTTCTCTTTCTCTGGGTAAGTGTGGAGGTTTTACTTTTCATGAGTCTAAAGTGGTATCTGCTATACTATTGATCTGGCCTGCTAATATCCTCCAATGGCTATCCTAAATCCTAAATCTCTTTGCTGCCTATCTGCAGGTCTGAGACCCTCCACTTCTCCTTCCTCAACGCTGATAAGCATCGCCACTGGATGCCATCACTCCTTCGCTTGGATCGTGATGGTGCGCAGAGCCAGAGCCATTCAGATGACGAGGAGGAGTCTTCCAACTACATGGGCTATGTCCTGGCCCTGAATGGCCACAAGAAATATTTCTGCCTCTTTAGACCCGTGTTCACAGGGGACGATGGCAGCGATTCATCTTCTGATACCTCATTCTCCTCAGACAGCAGGAGGAAGTCCCGTTCCAAGTCAAGGTCTAGCTCACACTCCCGGTCGCGATCCCGTTCCAGGGAGGATGGATCCAGCTCCAGGAGAGGCTCCAGCAGGGCCACTAGCATAGAGGTCCACCATAAGCTTGACAGGCTGGGACTGTGGATGGAGAGGCTAATGGAAGGGACCCTGCCCAGGATACGTGTCCCAGCATGGCCCACGCTTTTTGACGACACTGCAGAGGGCTGAAGCTGAATTAAGAAAATTAGTTTTCAGGTTTGTTTGTTGTTGTTTTTTTTTTAAAGTTCTATTTTGCAGCTGTAGTTTGCCACTGAACTGTTGAAACCCAGTGTTTTACAACAGCAGAATGCGCGTTCTTAATTGTTTTGTTAACGTGTTTACATCCACACAATGCATTACGGCTCAGACGTTAGCTCTAGCTAGCTGTGAGTGCAAAAATGTTTATCTACATTCATGAGGTTAAACTCATGCAGCATGGGAGATGTGCGTTTATTTCTGTCTGCTCAAGGACTTTAAAACCACATTGAACCTCTGAACTTTCCATCCACTGTTAACACCTCCCTAGAGTTTGACCTTTTAACGTTATGTCCCACTGATGGAAAAATCTGACACTTCAGAGGCTTTCTTTGGGAGCAGGCTAATGATGGCATGCAAACTGAAATTGTTGCACTGTTACAGATGATTTGTCTCTGTGGGATTGCAGGATCCTTCAATTGAATTTGATTTTGTACTTTAGTTTGCTATTCATAGCTGACATCGCTTTCAGACAAACAGAACTTACACAGCCTCAGAACACCCAATAACAGGGTGAAATGCATATTGATTAACCTGCTTGAGGCTGATTTACCTGTTTTGTTCGTTACCTTCAATCAACAGGAACAATAAATCAAACCGTATATTTGTCCATTTTAATACTTGGCCCTTTAACCACAGCAGATGTTAATGCATGGAATAAGTAGACCTAAAATCACATCATAAAACTCACCCTTGTCTCTGTAATAGAATAATTTGCTGCTCAACAAATAATAATTGTATTCTTCTATGTCTTTTGGAAGTCATTCTAACTGTATAAAATGAAGTGTAACTAAATTCCTTTTTAAAACGGTTTATTTATTAAAGTGTGCAAATATGTTTGACCTTGATATCTCTGTTGTTTGTGCTTCTTTTAACCGACACACATTGTTTATGTATCTACACAGTACTCATCATATACAAGCGGGCAAATGGTTGACTAATTGAGTCAGATGCATTGTTTCCACAGTATATTTTTAGCATCACTTGGTATTTAGAGTACACTTAAATATTTGACATTGTTTACATTTCAACAAATAATACAAGAACAAATATTGACCATAAATATAACTTCTGCTACATTACATCAATGCATGATCAGCATGTGCTTGAAGTACGCTGCGTGTCACGGACACTCGTGTGTTTTCGTACTAGAAGACTGGCTCAGTTGTTATTAGGAATGTAAGACACTTTCTTCTTGGTCAGGTCTTCGGGGCCAAAGGAAACTGGCAGAAGCTCTTCCACAGTCATCTTCATATACGAGCCATCAGGCTTTGACAAGTATACATCCCAGTTTGATCCAAACTGTAAACGGGGAAAGCAAAGGGCTGGAGTCTTACAGGATAGTCAAGTGTTTCACACTGAAATGTTTGTTTAATGACAAACTAGCACCTTCTAATGTGTTACACAGGCCACAAACAGGATAAATATTGGCTAGAGTGACGTGTGAGCTTGTCACTGTGTACTGTATACAATCACTGACTGGAGATTAAAGGTCCCTTTTAAACAAATCTGCTCCAAACCAAAATGAGCAGAGTTAATACCTCTCTCATGAACTGCCTGCAGCCTCCACATGGGGAAATGAACTGGTCACTCATGTCACTGAGGAAAGGAGAAGAAGAGTTTTGAATTGGCAAATAGTTGTTTTCTTTCTACATTTCATATAAGTAAAGCTCATGGCTTCTATTTAATATTAGGATTCACGGCAGAATTTCACATACTTAGTTATAGTATCACTTCTCCAGCTTTTTCAAGATTTGTGACTGCTAAGGAGAAGTATCCTATAGCCTTAACTCTTCCCTAACAAACAATATACAGACAAAAAAAGTCTTAACCTGGTTTAAGAAATAACATTGGTAGTCTGTCTGTGTTTCTTAAGGTTTAGCGACGTGCACAAAGACATGCAATGTGGAGTGAGTCATAGTCTCAGACTTTGCAACAGCAGGAAGGATGCCTGCATCTGTGGAAATGGAGAACTTTCCAGATTACTGTGTGTGTGTTAATTATACGTGCTCCTTACCTGGCAATTGCAATGGCCTTGAAACGTCGGTGCCCTTCTGACACTGCCTTTGCAATAACGTTCCTCTCAGCACACATTCCCAGATTGTAACAGGCATTCTCCACATTACAACCTGCCAAAGACACAAGAATAGAAAGGGATTGTTTTTGGCAACATGAGCAATAAACGGGGTTCTTCACATGGTAAAAAACATTCACAGCTGTTTACCAGCCTTTTACCCTCCCCAGACATTCCCACTGAGGGACACTTGCCAAGGTTTGTACAGTCCAGTGACACTGACCAGACTTTTGTGTCTTTGCTTTATTGTAGACAGTGGTCTGACATCCCTCTCGGTGCACACAGTGCCATTGAAGCAAGTGATAACCGAAGGGCTCCCTTAGCTCGCGGGAACGCTAAGATGTGTTCCTTCTCAGAAATGTGATTTAACTCAGTCATGTGGAATTATAAAAAGCTGAGGATGTAGAGCCACACGATAAATAATAAACCTTTATCTGAGCTTTCCGCACCAAGTCCAGACATTTGAACTGTCAGGTAATCATTAACACAGCGGACCAAGACAACTCAGAACAAACTAATGTGTAATTTCTTGTGCATTTCATTTGGATAAAACAAAAACAAAGGTAAGAGCTGGGAGGTTTTGTCATTTCTCACTCGTGTGTGGAGATCTTGCACCATAAAGAAGCAAGAATTGACTTGACTCAAATACAAACAGCATAATAATTTAGCTCACGTCTTCCTGTCTTTCACTATATACTTTTCAGGGTACAATTATGCTAAAAGTTACTTTTGTGTTTTGGTGCAACAGCATTCATTCAGTAAATAGTAGGCAATAATTTGCTTTTGTGTTCACCCCAAACCTAAAACCATTACCTTAAAGCTTCATATGATATACATGCATCTACTGAAAAACAAGTTTCACATGAGACTTACCTGTATGCACACTGTTGTCAAGGGTGAGCAGCGCAGCCCCGACTCTGAATTTGCTGTAAGGACAGTAGGTTTGCTCCTTCGCCTCGTGGGAGAGCTGAATCAGTTTTGCAACTGTCTCTTTGGAAACATGTTTAATGTCACGATCCTCAATATGCATCACCTCACTGTTGGACTGGGTTCCTGCCATGATTACGGTTGTATTTTCTAAGATTTCTTTTAAAGTTGGTGTGTGAGCCTGTTGTAGCTCAGCTTCAAATGTGAATGGGACCGAGGGAAAGGGGAGAGGGCACAAGCAGCCAATCACTCACCAGAATGTCAGCATGCTGTCATAAAGAAAGGAAGGTGTTGTCCCTTTGTGACTTTTGTGCAGATGTGACATGAAACCGGGGTTTGGGCAAGACTCTGACTTAAGTGTGACTCACCTGCCTGACCGGATTCTGAGGAAGTTTCGTAGTGTGTTTTAGTTTTAGTTTTAGTTTAATGACCGAAAAAAACACAGGTTATTCTCAGAAAATGTTTATTTAAGGTCCATATGTTTATAGTCAGTGGACAATAGAAGGTTTCAAAGAGCAAAAACAATTCCTGAAACAGACGTTATCCAAAATCTATGACAATGTTTTCATTTCTGTATAACACTGTAATATAACTGTAACATAAAAAAGTGTTTTTAGCAGAATGAATTGTAAAACCTGGTTCAGTTTGTATCATAACGGTGATATTCAGTCAGTGGGAATAAAAGTCAGTCAGGTGTAGATTCCATATCTGGGATTATATAAAAACAATTATATAAAAGATAAACATAGCATTTTTGGTCCTTCGGGAGCCATTCAAGTTTGTTTCTTTTTCTTCTTCTTTTTTTTAATCAAGGTAGAATTTTCTGTTAGCTAGTGGTAAGGATTGTTATTAGCTGTTCTCAATAACCTGATTCATCCATCCAATGTAGTTTCTGACCTTGGTGTAGACACCAGGGTAGTATGAAATCGCACAGCCAATGCCCCAAGATACAATGCCTTCAAATTTACCGTTACAAATAAGAGGTCCTCCAGAATCACCCTGAAAAAGGAAAAGAAAAAAAAAAAGATTTCAGGGTGTTTGTTACCTGATAGGACAAATTTTATTTGTTTATTTTTAAAGGAAATACAAAATATGCAAAGTCCAGCAACCATTAGAAGTGATATTGCTTTTGTTAGTGGGACATTGTTGCTGCTGTTTGGCAATTTAAAGTTTACCGCATTACTCCATTAAAAAGCAAAAACAAATGCAAAGTCATCAGTGTAAAATAGACAAACTGAAGTGTCCATTTCCAAGTCTTGTATCATTCTTTTGTATTTCATTTTTGTATTTACATATGTTACCTGACAGGAGTCTCTCCCGCCACTCCTAGAGCCAGCACAGATCATGTTGTTTGTGATCCTGAAGGGGTAGTAATTCCAGCAGCTGGTGAACAATTCCACCTCCACTGACCTCAGTTCGGGGGATAAACTCTGGCTGTACATCCAGGTAACACCCCAGCCACTAACTGTGCAAAGATTCAAGTTTTCCAGTGGCGGAGAGTTAGGGTCTGGCAACGAGGCTGGCTCGACCATGTCATTGATGATAGCTGGACGGTCCAGCTGACCCACAAAAAACAAATCCTTCTGTCAGTCAACATTGTCTACATAGCACACATAATATAACGTTCAGTCTATCATTTAACAGTGCCATATTTAGCCATAAAAGCTAGTTTTCTTCTGCAGTCCCTGCCAGGTTGAGAGAATGATTCAGAAAAAGGGAAAAGATGCAAAAGCATGTTAACACAATTATTATAAAATCACAGTTAGTGAAAACTTCAGATTATGACAACACATTTTATTAGCTAATAACTACTGTTTTATAGATTTGAATACAGAGGGTATAGTGGGTATAGAATCCCAACAATGTTAGATACTAAAATGAACTTTGTGGAAACCTTTACTGAAACTCGGTAAAACTTAAAGGAATCATAGTGCGAGGTACAGTAATGTGAAAAGGAAAGAGTTCTCCGGTAAAAACTGAGTACACCCTCACTGCTTCCATAGCAATTAAGAGGATAAGTTGCGGGCATGTCTGGAGCATTACATTTTAGACTCTCTAGGCCTCAGTGAGCATGTTAAATGTTAAAGTTCATGACAAACAAGCTATACTTGTTTCTACCCAACCCAAGTCATACATATGACTTAAGTTTGCAAAATAGACTCTGAGGAAACAACAAGACTTCCTGCAACAATGAAGATTTTTGGCCATAATTTCACAGCACCACGTGTTGCAAAAATCAAAGACAGCACAACGACCATGAACTCTTCTGTATAGCAAAGTATTCTAGAGTCACTGGCTTATGTACCAGGACAATGATCCCAAGGGCAGTAACATATACAACAGAGTGGCTGAAAATGAAAAGAATCGATTGGCCAGTCAAAGTTCAGACCTTAGCCTGACTGAAATGTTATGGCAAGACCTTAAGAGAGCTGTGCAGAGGGAATGCCCACAAAGTTCAACGAACTGAAGCAAAGTGGCAAAGTTAAAACATATGGTTTAATGACTATTATGGGTTTTGTTGCCACATAATAGTTTATGCCATTTGACACACTTGCATACTCAATCATCCAGGTAAGGAAATCCCACAAAATTGATTCTGTTCTGTAGGATTTTCAGTGGGAGAAACGTTTCATCGTGTATCCAAGTGACTTCTTCAGTCTCAGCTGACCGCAGGTTTCCCCAACCTTATAAACAGTACATTCCTATAATGACCGAAACTAGCACAACAGGCTGTGAGGTCAGTTTCATGATCATTAATATGCAAATTGTCATGACCATTGATCAATGTCCATGGATACTATTCACAGAGAGTTGAGGAATGACAGCACTCACAGCGTTGTAAGAGGG